TTAAGTTAAAATATTTAACGTATGTTCATTTTATCTCATTTGCCTGAGAGTCAATTTTAGCTTTAAAAAAATTTTTATTGGCCAGGCGGGGTGGCTCAGGCCTGTAATCCCAGCAATTTGGGAGGCAGAGGTGGGCGGATCATGAGGTCAGGAGTTTGAGACCAGCCTGACCAACATGGTGAAACCCCGTCTCTACTAAAAATACAAAAATTAGCCCTGTGTGGTGGTACATACCTGTAATCCCAGATACTTGGGAGGCTGAGGCAGGAGAATTGCTTGAACCTGGGTGGCAGAGGTTGCAGTGAGCCGAGATCGCACCACCGCACTCCAGCCTGGGTGACAGAGCTAGACTCTTGTCTCAAGAAAAAAAAAAAGCGGGGCTGGGCGCAGTGGCTCACGCCTGTATTCCCAACACTTTGGGAGGCTGAGGCGGGCGGATCATGAGATCAAGAGATCGAGACCATCCTGGCCAATATGGTGAAACCCTGTCTCTACTAAAAATACAAAAATTAGCCAGGCGTGGTGGCATGTGCCTGTAGTCTTGGGTCACCCATGCTGGAAGAATTCAGCTGCCTGGCCATGAGGAAACTCAGGTCTGCGGTCCTGTGGAGAGGCATTGGAGCAGTGCATCCTCCAAACCCAGTGGGGCCTTCAGATGATTGCAGTCTTGGCTGCCATGTTGACTTCAACCTCGTGAGAGACCTTGAGCCAGAATCACAGGCCAAGCTGGTCACAAATTCCCCACCCACAGAAAATGTGTGCAATGATAAATGTTTATTTGTTTATTTTTGAGACAAAGTCTTGGTCTCTCACCTAGGCTGGAGCGCAGTGGTGCGATCTCAGCTCATTGCAACCTCTGCCTCCCAGGTGCAAGGGATTCTTGTGCCTCACCCTCCCAAGTAGCTGGGATTACAGGCACATGCCACCATGCCCAGCTAATTTTTGTATTTTTAGTAGAAACGGGGTTTTGCCACGTTGCCCATGCTGGTCTCGAACTCCTGAGCTCAAGCTATCTGCCCAGCTCAGCCTCCCAAGGCACTGGGATTACAGGCCTGAGCCACAACACTTGGCCTGGAGCATACCCTTGCTATGCAGACTAACCAATCCAGAGCCTCACCGGTGGCTCTATCTGGTCCACACACCGCAGGAGACAATATTCCTCTGTCTTAATCATCCCGGGAACAGGAGCCAAGCAGCTGGGGGACACTCCCACAGCTGAAGGCCCACAGGAATCACTCCAGCTAGCCAGTCCTGTGCTGTGAGCTCTGCTCTGCCTTGCTTTTCCCTTGGAAACCCCAGTAAAGGCTCTGGCTTAGAGCTCCCCCTTGCTCCTGCCCCTGCTGCCTCGGACAGATGCTGTACTTTCTCATGTGTCCTTCCTTATGGGCCGCGCCTCCTGTTTCCAGGATCTGTAAGCATGATGGACTTTGTTTTCCTGAGCTTGTCCTGTGTCTCTTCTTCTGGCCACACCTGACTGAGCAGCACATAAAAGCCACAGAACACCAGGAGAGCTGCTGCTTGGGGAAATTCTGCGGGAAGTGTCCTGGGGGACTAGGGGCAGGGCGAGCACTGCTCTCCCTCTCCTGAAGGCTGGGGAGAGCATCAAGGAGATTACCAGGTGGGAGGACCATGGGCAGGGCCTGCCTCATCAGGATGCTTTTCCCGGAACAGAGTAAAAATTTAAGCCCCTGGTGGGTGAGTCCTGGATTAACCAAGACCTGGGCCTTTTAGAGGCTGTGGAAGACAGAGGACACTGTGAGGTGAGTTTCTCTTGGGTGGATTCCCCAGGGGCCTCTGAGGCTGGTTCCAGGCCCTACCCTTTGGCTGCCCCACTGGAAGCTCTGAGCATCCACCCTTCAGAGGCGCTTTCCTTGGTCTGACCTTGGCAAGGGCAAATAAGAAGGTACTCCATGGGGGTCCCCAATGTCTGGGGCGTAAACAGTGCCCATCTGCACAGTAGCATGAGGGCCACAGAGTGTGGTAAATGTCAAGTGACCAGCCCAGGCGGTCCCCAGTGTGGCTGCAGGGGCCACTTAGGATTCTTCTGTTTGGGGGTCCCAGGCCACACTTGGGGAACCCTATTGGAAGCAACAAGGCCTAGGCCCTGAGGGCCCAGGGCTCTGCCCTCTCCAGTGCTCTAGCTGAGCCAGGAGCAAGCATCCTCCCGGCCCTCCCAGCTGGTGTGAGGAGGAAACCGCCCGCCAAAGGGCAAGGTGCTCTGCACAGATCTGTCCCTAGTCAGCCTGCTCCAGTCGGCCTCTGGAGTGGGAGCCTTGGGTCTGTCTGGAACCAGCGTGGATGAAATGCAGGGAGAAACTGGAATCATAGCCATGGACAGCCACTTACATAGCTGGGAAAAAGCATGCCGTGCTAGATCCCGGTGGACTCTCACCTCTGCGGTGCTGGGGACTTTGTGCTGACACCTCAGGCACCCACTTCCACTCACGCTGCGGAGGCTTGGGGAGATTCAGTTCAGTCTGGAGTCCCGCAGGGGACGACAATGGGGCGACCCCTACCGTCAGTCAGACCAGGGCAAGCTTGCCAGGGCATCGCACTTCACCAAAGGGAACCCTTTCTGCCGCGACTACGGAGCCGGCGCCAGGGTCGGGACAGGCAGAAGCCTGCTCTGAGGTCTCACCTCTGGAGGGTTATGAGCTGTGCCAGGCCGGCTACGGTAGAGCGTGTGCAAACACCCCGAGGTCCCAAGGCTCCTGAAGCCGCCTAAGGGGCATGAGAGGCCCTAGGTTCGAATCCCACCTTCACCGTCTTATGGTTGTGCCTCTGGAGAGTCACTTTTCCCCGTTTCCTCACATACCAGAGAGCCAAGTAACAGGCACCGCGGCTCTGTGTGGACAGAGATGGTGGACACAGCGTCTGGGCCGGATCTGCGGCCACTCGAGATTATTACTGCGTATGCCTGCAACCAGATGCTGTGTGCCCCGTTAGAAAAGGTCAAATAAAACTCGAGTTAGTGGAAGCCTGTGGACGCCATGTGTACAAAGTGAAGTTTAATCAAGGTTACAAACAGTGGGTTTTCCGGGACAAAGGCCCCTCCTCGACGCAGGGTTCGCTTGGGCAACGCGTCGGCTCCCGGTGGTCAAGGCGCGGCGCGGC